TCTTTTTTACTTAAAACAATATTCTTATTAATTGAACCTTGAATATCAGTATCTGAACTATTTAATGATTGAGACATTTAAACAACAAAAATTAAATAGATAAAAATCTAATCGGTTTAAAACTAATTAGATATTAAACTTTTCTTTGATACTAATTTTAAGTTGGTTGTAAATTTGATTTTGAAAATTGATATTTAACAAACTCTTCAGATAATAAATAAATATTCTTCCCATCAAGCTCTCTATATAAAAAACTTTTTCTATTTCTATGAAGATCATAAATTAAACTAAACTCATCTTCAATTATACAAATCTGGTCAGAATTTACATTTTGAATAAAATTACTTGGATAAAAATAATAATATATAAAAGTTTTTAAATAATTTTCAAATATTGTTTTAGGAATCAATATTTTAAAACAAATATAATCAAATTTTTGAAAATAATTATTCGAATTTTTCTAAATTATTTCAGTAATAACCCAATCTTGACATAATGATGAAATTTGATCAAATTTTAATTCATCACAGTCTTCATTTTTGTTATTAATTTCTAATTTATAGTTATGATTAATTTGTTTTAAAGATATGTTTAATAAAATGTTTTTCATGAGATTATAAAACATTTTAGTAACTAATGATAAAGGTTTAACTTCTTCAAAATTTGTAAATTCATAATGATTTAGTATATTAAGAATTATTTCTACAGAAAACATTTTAATTTATATTATAAAAAATCCAATCGGTTAACAACTAATTAGATACAATAACAATTTTTCAGGTTCCAGCCTGAAAAATTGTGATGACCCTCTTTATTTTATCTCTGAACGATTTGCTCTGCACTTTTTTCGTTCTTCAGAGAAGAACCAAGTTTTATTTTTTCATCAGTTGTTTCTTCGATATAACAAATGCCTTGATTTAATGATAAACAATTCCAACATGTTGGAATTGTTTCTAATCAAGATCTCATTTTTGTCATATCTTAGAAACAAATTTAAGTTCAATTTAATGAATATTTATTAAATAAAAGAAATACATCAATAAACTAAATATTTGTGTTTTTTTTTCTTTCCACATTGACACAACTAATTTAAATGCATCTTTATGTTCTAAATCTGAATTATTTTTTTTAATAATAGGTAATTTTGTTTTCATAAATGCATTGTATGGAGATAATTTTTTACTCTCATTCATTTTAATAGAAGCTCCACATTTAGCTAATTTGTCTGCTATTTCATTTCCGGTAATACCTCTATGTCCGAAAACATATGTAAAATATACCTTTCCGTGTCTTTTGGCCAGTAAAAAATCAATCTTCTCGAACAAATCTTTGTTTTTAACGTTCTGATTTTTAAGTGTTTTCCATCTATTTTTTTTCCATTTATGAATCTATGTTTCGAGAGAATTAACAACAAAGTGACTATCTGATTTAATCTCAATTACTTTAAGTTGATCCTCACATGTTTCTAATGCACGAATTACTGCATATAATTCTGCACGATTATTAGTTTGTAAATCTTCAGGTAAAGGTTCGGTGATTTTTTTAGTTCCA